ACTCAATCATCCTTACACGTCGTTTAAATAATGTATGTAATCTCGAAAATTTTACATTTTATAATTTTATTATGATAAAGATTTTGTTATCATAACTGATATTTTTATTATCTTAACGAAATATATTGTTAATAAAGAAAAAGATTTTTGTATAGAAATATGTTTTAATAATTTAAAGTAGTATGTTGAACATAAATTATTCATCGACAACCTTAATAATTTGAATGATTTGTTTCTTTCCTTGTTGGTCGTTAACCCACTTAAGGGCAAAGTCGAGATATATGGTTCAAAATATACGGCTTCCATATCTTAGTAGTGCCCTGGAGGGTTAAATCTGCTCGATTTTCATCAGACAAACATTAAATGTGAAGAAGTTACAGATTTTTTGTATAAATTTTTTAATAATATTGCTCTACATCAATGGCTGAACTTTTTTACCATCATTGTTTCTTGTTTGTAAAGGTGCATCGACAAAATTCCGTGTTTAATGATTATCCACGCTCAAATTGTAATAAAAAAAAAAAAAAAAAAAGAAAAAAAAAGAAAAACAACATATTTTAAGTGAGAAAGAGTATAAAGTAAAAGTTGCTGGAGAGTGATTGGTGGTGGTGGTGGTGGTGTGGTGGTTTGTGGATGGAGGGGAGGTGGGGGGATAAATGAGTAAAATAGGCAGAATAAGAAAGAACGAGTATAGTGCTAATATCGTTTATTAAACGATGCTTTGATAAACATAATATAGTTACATAAAAAGGAAAATCGAAATTATTTTATAAAACTCGGTCAACTAATTGATTAACAGACACAATGAATGTATGCGAAATACACTATAAGAAAGCGAACGAATAAGTTAGACAGGAAGGGAATGAAAAGGTGAGGAAGAGGATGAGAGAGAACGAGTAAGAATGAAAAATTCAACAAGATAGATATTCACGGAAATGTGATAATCGAAATCGAGGAGAATATTATAAATATATTGTACAAATGGAATTATCGTTGGAAAAAGTACGATTAAATACTATAATAACTAAATGGTTTACAATTTTTAATAATAAAAAAAAAAATATACGGGACTTACTTAGTATGTTCGGAAATAACAGAGGCACGAATACGATTGTACATGCAATTGCATATATGTATATATGCGACGTACCCGCGCACGCATGCGCAAGTATAACACCCACTCAGAAAAATACACGTACATAATAATACGCGTACACATATATATACTATTAATTATAACAAAACGGTATTATGATTATAAGTGAGATTGCCTTGATTTGTAAATAAAAGCTGTCAAAACTTCCATTGAAAATGAAACAAAAATGGTCAAAAATGAAATAAAATAAAAGAGCTACTAAATATTTGAAAAAAGTATAATAATAATAATAATAATAATAATAATAATAATAATAATAATTGAAGTGGTGATGATAATGACGATGACGACGACAGTGACGACGACGACGATGATTATGATGATGATGATGATGATGATGATGATGATGATGATAATAATAATAACAACAACAACAACAACAACAACAATAACAATAATAACAATAATAATAATAGTTAAACAGTTTGACTCTCGTCTGCGGCTTCTAGGAGCTTTCGTACGTTTTTTACTGATGAATCAGATGATTTTCTTAACTTGCGTCATTTTTGTACAATACTTAAGATGTAGTTGGAAAAGTAAAACTTAAGTGATACGATAAAGGCGATTTGCAAAAATGTATAAAAATATAAAAGATGAGAGATGAAGAAGAAACTAAAGAGCCGAGCCGTGTAACAGAATTTAGAATGAGAATGAGAATGCATGAGAGAGAGAGAGAGAGAGAGAGAGAAACGACGACGTGATGCGAAAACCTCTCCCGTCCCTCCGATTGTCCAGTTTGCTCTGTGATTGTGTTTAATAAACAAATAAATAAATATATATGCATATATATATATATATATATATATATATATATATATATATATATATATATGCGTGCGCGCGTGTGTGCGTGCGCGCTTGTGCGTGCGTATGTTTGGTTAATGCTGATGTGTGGTGTACATTGTTTTATGTTCCTGTTTGTCGTTTCCGTCTTCCTTAAGCTCTTTTTACGCAACTAAATCAACTCTTTCAGCACTTTTACCATTTTATTATGCATAATCAGTATATTATTAATTTCGATAAAGTATTAAATTTGAATAACTTGTTTATAATTTAGCATATTGCTTTTAGAGAGAGAGAGAGATGCTATTGCAGATACGAAGTTAATAGCAATTACATACAATTTAAAACTTCATATTATTTTAATATTATTTATACATTATGATAACGAAGTATATCGAAATATAATATTTGTATATAATATAGAATATAGTGTCGTATTAGTGAACAAAAAGTGTACTATAAAAAACTATTAAAAGTTTAATCGATCATTTGAATCGCGTTATTAATGTTTGCGCATAACCAATTCGCTAAACAAAACAACATGTGTTCTTAATTAAATTGAAATACGCTTTCCATATTTTTATGATAATCATTTAATTTTTAGCTCCAACTTTTAATTATTAAAATAATATCAATAGATCTGTTTAACCTTGGACATTATTTTATTAAAACGTATTAATTTACATTTATTAATTTGCATTGTGATTTTTCTTATCTATCTTTGTTTTTCTCTCTTCTTTTTTTTTAATTATTATTTTCTGCTTCTTATTTCGTAACTAAGTAAGAATGCAGATAAACAATGCTCTGTTGATAATTTTAGAATGTGACAGGAAAGCGACGGAATTATTGTTGCAAAGTAACGTCAAGGAAAGGCATAAAGCCATTAATTTTCAATGTCGCCTTGATTTAAATACAGAAAAATTAGAATTTGAAAATGTTTGACTATTAATCGACCATTATACTTTATTTGTCCGTACTTTGCTGGATATTTACTCTTGTAATTTTCTAATTTTCTAACTATCAATTTTTTCTTTATAATTTCGTTGTAATTTAGAGAGTAAGGCTTATAGATCATTAGCTGGGTGATTTGGTATTGGACAAGAGCGCCCTTCAGAGTTTATCAACTCCATGAATCTAAAGTGTGATTACATTGGTATCACTTTGATGATTGTTCAATGAGTTTATGGAAAATTTGATGGAAAATTAAGATAGGAAATATCGAGCTGTTAACGAATACGAAGGCACATAATAACACTTAAAATTGTGGAGTGATATTTTACGGACGATCGATGGAGTCTGCACGAGAGAGAGAGAGAGAGAGAAAGGAACTTATAAAAATCATATCTATATCTTGGGGCGGTAAGCCAGAAAGGTTACATTTGTAAAGATTGCTCAATGAGTCATGGGATGGAGCTGTAATAGAACGTACCAAGATTATTTATAAAGATTTTAGGCAGACTCGATCGATGATGAAAATTGGAGATAGAAACGTGAGGTTCGCACGCTACATTAATATTCCCCATAAATTTGATGATATCAAGGATAAGACCGCGCAACCAGCACAATGTATTTTCAATTCAATAAAATTCATTTGTTTCAATAATTCTTGCCGCAACCTTTTCTCGTTCGCCATCTCAATCACCAAAACCTTCTCTACACGTTAAAATTACTTTCTCGCGAGAGCCGAGGCCTTGAGCTCGCAACGACTCCTTTAAAAGTATGAGAAAGAAAGCGTCTGCAGCTGTCGTATCAGTGCACTCTCAAAGTGGGGGTTAGTGCCATCACTTTTAATTAGGTTATTCAAGTACTTTGCCCGCCTTCGACAACATCCGATTTCGAAATTAAAAGCCATTAGTAAAAGCCTGACTTTTTCATCGTGAAACGACGCTTCGTTGAATGGAGGGGGGGGGGGGGGGTTGTGATGGGGTGTAGGAGGAGGAGGAGGTGGTGGAGGTGGAGGAATTATACGAAGCGTGACGTGAGCATGCCTCACGGACATACTCGCTATTAGAGGAATTGCGCGCGTGAGAAAGTGTTCACCTCGACGACGTCTTTGAAGCTGTGACGAGAAGAGCGACGATGCGCATCTTATTGAAAAAAAAAAAAAACCAAATAGCGGCAGGTCTGCGGAGAAGCGACGTATGCACGTATGAAACAAGCTTGAAGAAGATAAAAAAGAGTTTGCGACATTGAATAACTCTCGGGACGAGGGCTTGGAATGCGAAAAACCTTTATTTATAACATTGGCGGCGGTTGTGGGGGGGGGGGGGGGGGGGGCCCTTTGTTGATAGAATCGGGGGGGTTGGGGGGGGGGGGGGGTGGAGGAGGATAGCCTGCGAATATCGAAGGTTCAGGGATGACGAGCGTTTACACGGGTGCCATGCTCAACCGACGCGCTCAGGTGTGGAAAATATTGCTCGACATAACTATCGTCGCCCAGGGGCGGATCTTCGGATCCTGATTTGAGGTGGTTGGGACATTCCATTGAGTTACCGATCGTCAAATTTTTGCGAGTCGTCCGATTCTTTCGAGTTCCTTGTTATAACCAGTTGCCTCGTCCGACACGAGCGACCCATTACTAATATGAATTCAAGCTATTTAATGAGGTTTGAGACGCGGACTCGGAGCGGATTCGCACAAGTTTGATGTATCGTAATCGTAATACGTCGATTACGATAAATACGCTCGATTTGCAGATTAAATTGGGCTAAAAATTCACAGCTTCTTAGTAATCGCTTATGGAGCAGGAGCTGCCGAGACGAAGATCCTCGATCTCGTCGTTTTCGTGGCCGAGAGATGAGAGATCCTAGGACAAGGATATCCGAAACCGCTCGGACCCTAGGACCTTCTGGCGCGTCTCTACGAAGGCGTTTTACATGGTATCCCGGATAATAAGGGCTGTCTCGCGGCGATTTACGCGCTTCGTGATTTACGATGCCATTCAACTCTCGTTCGCGCGCGGAAGCAAGTCGAGCCATTTGCTCCGAGTGAACGCGTACGAGGGAGGGGAGAAATGTTTGTGGGAGGGGGTGCGCCGAGCGCGTGCACGCGAAAATTTCGCGGGGCGCCGTAATAATAATAAATTGGAAAGAAAGGAAAGAAGGCAGCAGGGAAGGAAGGAGGAGCGTCGATAGACCTTGGAGCCGCGGTCAGCTCGTAGTTGGTGTCCTCCACGCTAGAGTTCCGCGCGCGCATCCACTTATTAATATTGTTGCGATAGGCGCTCGTGGAAGCCCCCGCGAAGATCCGAGGATGGCCCGTGGCTTTGTAGGGCGATAAAAGCTCGTAGCCGCACAACGGGAATTCGTGACCCGACGTCCGCGGCTCTTTACCAGGTGACAATGCGGTGGGCTTCCGGTCTCGCTAGCCGATAAGACAGCAGATCAGTCAGCCCCCGGGGCCTTTCCTTCATCGCGGAATATGGCCGACCACTGAGGGCGGAGAAAGTACGGCAAAGCAGCCTCGCGTCATCGTGTCCGTCCCTGCGCCTTTTTTGCCGAGGAGGAGGCGCCGCACGGCCTCCCGAATCCTCGCTCGCGCCCGCGGCTCACCTAGACTTCCTTTTGCAGGTTATAAAGAACCTTGGGACAATGCCGCGCGTCAAGGCTTCGCCGAAGAAGTTCGTGAAGACGGGGGCGCAAGCCAGCGCCAATACATGGGTATTCCTCATGAAAGGTAAGCCGATTGCATAGCGAGTCGCAAGGTGCGCAAGAGCGAGCCCCTTGTCGCGGTCACGCGAATACGTCGATACGGGTATCGGTTATGTATTGGCCATTGTTTACTTTTTGTCGGCCCATTCCCCAGGCCACACTTCTCCTTCCAATCTGCATTCCAATTTACAACGGGCGATGGCGTTTCAATTTTTAATATTTGTTATTAATAGGCACTGGGCATTATTGGGAAGGGATGAGTCACGACCCGGTCACTTAAAAAGTTCATGGTTATTCGATTGTTATTATTATTGTGAATTGGACGGCCTGGTAGTTGGGACTGCAGTAATTTATTATTGGGGGATACGAATTTAGATATAAATTCTTTTATTGGTATTCGTTAATTGTGTCGCGTGTTGTTGTTGTTGTTGTTATTGTTGTTGTCGTCGTCATCGTTATTGTCGCGAGGGGAGGGTGGGGGGGTGGGTGGGGGAGGAGAGGGGGTTTGTAAGGTAATCAATTATAGTATGAATTTATGCTTGTCTTGGGTGTTTAGGTGAGTCCTTGGAGAATACGGAAGGTGTGCATCCTGATATGGTGAAGCTTCGGCATCCGGCTTCGAATCAGGCTGCCATGTTTGTTTTTAGTCCTGGTGATTTGACGATTCAAGAAGTTATGACGTTTGATGAAAATAAAAGATCTTGGTTTATCGATGACAATGTTAGATCGGATGGAAAAATGCATCTTTCAACACCGATTGATCCAATTTTTCTGGTTCTCCCTTACCTAAGAAAAGTAATAAGTTCTCATAGACTTTAGCAAGAATGCAGTATTAGCGTACCTACATGTAATAATTGTGTCTTGAAATTCCTTAGTCTCAACAAATAATGCCATTAGAGCAGTGTCTGCGCGACGAAGATTATCCCGAAACCAATCGTCTCATAAAGTGTCAAAATTTAAAATTGTCGTTGATAGCTGACCGAAAAGGAGACGAATCCTTACAAGCCTTTAAATATAACGAGGATAAGACGTTAAGTTGGTTAAGAAAGAAGGTGGAAAGAGTTGCGGAAATTGTAAGACAAAAAGGCATTCACGTTTCTCAAGGTGCTATAAGTGCTAATTTTGTAAAAAGTAGCAAACACGAGGGTGGAACAGAAGCAGGTAATACTCGGATCAGATTTGTATATTAATTACATAGCCCATTAAAGGGATGTTTTATAAAGTAGAATTATACTTATGTGGTTTAGAATATATGAGATACGCTCACGGTATAGTTTCTGAATATCTTGCCGAAGATTTGTCTAAAAAGTTACTGCAGTATCTTAACTTGTCGGATGACACGGAGCAAAAAAAACGTAAGCTCAACAGTCCAAAAGATACGGCCGACGAGAAAAGGCCTAAGAGAGAAGTGCAAGAAATGGCCCCACGAAATGGAGCACTCGATCTAACTAAATCAGAAAAGGTTAGTTCATAAAAATAGCATTAAAAAAAGATTGCTTATGCACGCTTTCTGCCATTTTTACTTACCTACATTATCGTATTACAATAAAATTTCACATGCACAATTTGATTTCTTTATGGTAAATAAAATGTCGCTCTACACTTGATTCATTGACTTTAAATATTTGCAGCCAGCTAAGATGGCCACTTTGTCGAAGAAGGAGCTAGCTAGACAGAAAGCTGCTGCTGGATCTAAGAGTATAACCAATTTCTTCAAGAAAAAATGAGAATTCTAAGCATATTACTTTATACATAGTGACCTACCACTTTGAAAAAAATTGGTCTGTCGCATTAAGGAAAATTTGGAGTCTCTATGTTCCTATGAATGTTATCATGTAAACGTCAATATAGAAACACCTAGGCTTAAGAGATTTCTGATATAAAAGTCGATTACGTAGCACAAAGCCAATATTAAGTATAAAATTTATATTATTAATTGCAGGCTGTAAACCTGTACTTTAATAACAGGGTTTCGTATTGTTGTTTAAGAATATTTCTTGTATGTATACATAACTTAATAATTGCGCACGAAAAGGTTAAAGTTATTTTTGCAATTCTTTTTTAATTACAAATTTTTAAATAAGACTGTTAGATTATGCAGGATATAAGTGTTAATTTAATTCTGTGATTCTGTGAAACAGAATGTGGCTATTTTAAGATGACATTCATCATTTCTGTGTAAATAGTACATTTTTTTATAATAAATAATGGAATATATTATGTGTATTTAATATAAGAAAATTTTTTAATATTTGCGGTTTAATCGACATCAACAACGATGGAGTACATTTTTATTCGTATCGTTAATTAAAATTTCAACATTGACGATAATACAAATTATAATTCACCTAATCGAGCAATGTGTATTAAATTTTTAATTTACCAGTAATTGTACATAAAATTTAGGTCTCGACTATTACAAAACTATTTATTTGCGAATCATCAACAAAATTTATGTTAGTCGTTGCATTGTATGAAACTGAATTATAAAAGAAGGATAAAATTAAGTAATCCAACAAACGAAATTGTATTTTATTTTATACGTTATATATTATACAATAAGCTCGTAACAAAAAGCATAAAAATAAAAAAATTAACAAACTATACGATATTTCATCAATAATTTACAAGTGTTTTTATATAAAATTAATCGGAATCCATAAATGTAACGCGATTTCCGATGGGTTCTGTTGTAGGTGCTGTTAACTCGATATCTCTGCACTTTGCTGCTTGTAATTCTCGTCTTATTTCTGGTGTTATAGTATGATGAGATTGTTTTTTTAATAATTCTAACAATGCCTCTTTTTGTTCTGAACTTATGTCACTTTTGTACCTCTGGGCAAATGTCAGAAAAGCCTGATGCCACAGAACAGGCAACTCCCTTCTGTCTCTTTCAAATCTGTGTAAAAAGGAAAAAAAAAAAGGAAAATTAATAAACATTCATTGCAAATTTAATTATTTTCAAATACTTTAATTTTTTTTCGCTTATTGTAATGCTCTAATTCTAAAATGGAATTACGTACCTCAAAAAATGAAATACAAGTCCATCGACGACTCTGTACGGCAAGGCATATTTTTTGTCTAAAAATATCCTCATAAAAACACTATTAGCTCCATTATAATCCATTTCAGCAATTTTTAACAATGTTGCGGACGAGTGTAAAATAGGTATCGAATTTTTTGTAATTACCGATCCAATAATTACGGCTTCTCTTAGGGTGCATGTGCCAGATTGGAGAAGAGGCAATATGATACCTTTCATAAAGGCTCCTGGCTTAAACAGTGCCTTCCTTAACGCTTGATACAAATGAAAGTTCAGTCTTTTGTATTCCGCTAAATCATCCCTAATTCTGGGTAAAAGAACAAGATTATAAAATCTCTGAGCCATTCTCTCCTTTAAGTTGGAGGCAAATATCCTAGTCGCTTGATACATTGCACCAGCCGACCATCCAAGTGGATTAGTTATGTACAATATTTGCTCCCAATTTCTTAAACTAGGTATAATTTTAAAGGCTTTTGGCAATTTGCCAGAACGGTATTTAGATAAAACATCTTTAACTCCTTCGTACATGGCTTTTACTCTTGGATCGATATCCTGCATTTGCAGGGACGCAACATCCGATAATTCAGTTTCTAGTTCTCTTTTCTTCTCCAACAGTTTTTCCATTATAATATCACCAAGATTTTTCACAGGCACTCCGTCCTTATTCATAAACATCTCTAAAGCCCTCTCGTCCTCTGGATCTATTTGAATATCTTCGTAATAATCATTTTGAATGCTCTCTACATCACTAGACGACTCATCATCATCGCTAAACAAATCCTGAAAATCTGTTGATTTTTTTTTTGAAGTGGACGATCCCAATTCTTCCTCCTTAATTTCCTGCTGCTGTATTCGAGCTTGCAATAAAATTTTCTTCGAAATTTTAGGATCGATAAACTGTAAATAAAAATAATATACATTGTTAAAAATGTTGTCAATAGACAAAGTTTGCAAGTACTTAAATTTATGTTTGACATATAGATATACATAACCTCTTCGTGCTCTTCGGTACGATTACGAATTTTCTTGCGTTCTTTGATTTTCAGCGTATTTTCATTTTCCAATTGTTCAGCTAAGCCAATTTTCTTCTTGCTCATTTCATCCTTGGAAACTTTTATTTTCTTAGCTTTCCCCATTTTACGTTATTTCAATGGTTAATTGTCGTTCAGGACTTGTAAGGGAACACGTGCATGAGTATTACAAGTGCAATATATAGTTTACGGATAGAGATATATTTGTAATCTACCTTACCGACTCACCACCTCAGAGCGATCAATTTCAATGCAACAAACAATTTTGCATTATACGAATTAACATCCCAATATTGTAATATCTTGTAAGGTAATACGGAAAATTTATCTACAAAAGCGAAATGGATTTTTTTTCGATTGTCAGGCAATTTTGTTGTTCTCTTTTCTTTATTACTCACTTATACTAATATCATGCCATTTATCAGCTCTCCGTAAAAAGATTTTTATTTTTTATGAGTCACGCGTAAATAGAGTAACGAATAATAATAATAATAATAATAATAATAATAATAATAATAATAATAATAATAATAATAATAATACGATTAAATACAGAAGTTTAACTTCCAGTTAACAAGTAGTACTTGTCTATTTAAATTTACGCGGCACAGTATATAGCAGTGCAATAGGTGCCGTCACGATCCCCGTCAAAGTCCTTGTATTTGGTAGTCAATTTGTATTTTATAAATATAAGATGTATATATTGTATCGTTATAATTAATATTCCAATGATATATAAATAATTGAATAACTATGCGTACGAATTAAGTGAATAGAGTTAAAATTTTAAGCTCTATTAAAGGATAGCAGAAGTAGGTAATATCTGGGGTAACGCGCCATCAATTTGTTAGACAACACCAATTCACTCGAAAATCGAGTTAATTCCAAGTATTCTACGAACATTTCACGTTCATCAGATGTGTATGGGTGTGCAGATTTACGCGGGAAAACACGGGGAAAAGTGAAGTGGACAGTAAATAGAGAATAATTGGAGCTTCGGATATTCTTACGTTTTCCTTTTTTCTAATAATTATTATCTTTTCGTTTAGTTATTTATATATAATTTATAGTGATCGAAGGAGTTGGAAAAGTCTGTAATCATGCCTCCAAAACTTGCAAGAGATTATAACAAAGATAGAGGTAAGAATGCAAATATGTGATTGAAAATTAAAATAAATCTATGATAAGATATTAGAATAGTTTTGATAAATCCTGTTTTATGTATTAGATCAACTCAAAATGTTTCTCACGGAATATTCGAAAATGGATGAGAAAACAGGCAATAAGCATTTTAAGTATCGAGAACAATTAACAAGACTGGCGCATAGAGAACAAATTGCCTTAGTTATTAGTTTGGATGATGTTAAGGATTTTGATGATGAACTTGCTGAAGTGATTGCTTCAAATGCTAGGCGCTACGTTACCTTACTCTTGAACGTAAGTATAAAATTAGAACATGTGTTAGGGTATTTAAGTTTTATTAATTAATCGATCGATCGAGTTTTGACGCTGGTAATTTATTGTAATTTATGTAAATGAAAATGTCAGTATGTGATGTAAAAATAATAGAAGATTAATATAAATTAAGTAGTTTCAAGCGTTAAATTTAATTTACAGCTCGTCCAAGAAATTTTACCCGATTTTAAAGAAAAAACCATAACTGCCAAGGATACTTTAGACATTTATATCGAGCATCGTTTAATGATGGAGGCTCGTAATCAACATCCAGGAGAGCAAAGAGATCCTAGAAATAAATATGCCCCGGAACTTATGAGACGCTTGTGGGTGTTTTAGCATTTCATAATGTCTAATTCGTAATTAGATACGTTTGACTTGTTTTACAGAAATAATGCCATCAACTTGACCAGTAACTTTTATTTTGCAGTGAAATATATTTTGAAAATTTTAACGATGCAAAACAAATGTCGGTAAGGGACATTAAGGCGACTTACGTGGGACAATTGGTAACAGTTCGAGGTATAGTTACTAGAAGTACAGAAGTAAAGCCTTTAATGGTTGTTTCGACGTATACCTGCGATCAATGTGGCGCAGAAACTTATCAAACTGTGCAGTCTATGAGTTTTATGCCGTTACAGTCTTGCCCTAGCGACGATTGTCGCGTTAACAAGTCAGGTGGTAGATTATACCAGCAAACTAAAGGTTCTAAATTTATCAAATTTCAAGAGATAAAAGTCCAAGAGCATGTAAGCATAACTCATCGTTTTATGTTATAAATTTTGTTAACGTCGATTCTTTCATTAACAACTTTCTAAATATAAATTAATTGTACGATAGAATTATAATTATTTTTAATTACAGTTTTAATTTAAATTTTAATATAATTTAATTATTTTACTTTTTAATTAAGAGCGATCAAGTACCCGTTGGACACATTCCAAGAAGCTTAACATTATTTTGTCGGGGGGAGTTGACTAGGCAATGTCAGCCAGGCGATCATATTGTGCTCACTGGAATATTTTTGCCTCTTATGAAAACAGGCTTCGTCGCTCGGGAATCGGCAGGTCTTCTGTGCGATACTTATATGGATGCCCATGTACGATATACACTTATACAATTATATCACAATACTTTTATTAAAAAAAAAATAATAATAATAAATAAATAAATAAATAAATATGTATTCTAACGGATTCGTTTGAAAAACATAAACTGCGAAATTTAACATTATTAACAATTAGTATTGTCAAACATTGAGCTTTCGCCTCCATTTATAGTTTGGAATTAATAAATTATGAATTTAATTATTCTATTAGAAAATCGAAAATCTAAGCTTGACGAAAGATGACACTAGCGCCAATGAATTGACAGATGAAGAAATGGCTATATTGGCTCAAGACGATTTTTATTCGAAATTAGCTAGTTCCATAGCACCAGAAATATATGGCTTGGAGGATGTTAAAAAGGCGCTTTTGTTACTTTTAGTTGGAGGTACGGACAAAAAGAAGGGTGATATTAAAATAAGAGGTAAGTCTCATATTGTGTAAATTACTGGTAATTTTTCATATTATTCTTATAGCGCCGTCAATCAGTATCAATGTAATAATTAAAAATTTACGCGTTCAATCATTAAGTTCAAGCGTTAAATCAACTACACGAAAGCGAGGACAAAATTGATATCATAAAATTGAAATCATTTAAAATTTCCTTCCGTTGTAACTAACATATACGCATGCACAAATAGTCATCGACATGATTGCAACCGGTTTTAGATTACATTTAATTTTCCTATTTCACTCAAGTACGGCTGACATGACTTGGATGTGTCGTCGGTCTTTCAAGACCCGATTTTGAATTTCTCTTCAAGCGGAAATTCGTTTAGTTCAACCAATGTCAACATCGTCGACAATTTGCTACTCATTATTCATACGTTTTAATAAACTCTATAGCCCCTACACGTCGAGCGAATTTATCGATAATCGCTGTTGCTGCACAAGCGTATCGAGTATTTTGCTCTAATCACATTGTCGCTACAACATAGCTGTCTTACACTATGACTAATCATCGATCGTTACAACTTAATTTCATACAGTCTTGCGTATTTTTGGGGGAAAAAAAAAAAAAAAAAAAAAAAAAAAAAAAAATCTCATCGAGTGACTGATTATCATTTCTATACACGAGTTATTTCGCTCAATGGTTCTGATTCTCAAATTGTTTAATTCGATCAATTTCTCATAATCATACGCAAGTCGCCAGTCAAATTCATTTATGCAATTCTCGTGTGGTGCAATTGGAATTAACAGTAAGCTTCGATAGCACTTTAAAAGGAGAGGAAATTGTAAAGCGATGGAGCGGGCCACTTTGTCCGCTCGGTCCTGTTTTAACTCGAATACCGAATTGCCAGATCAGGCCGTTGCTAATTCTTGTTTATCCGCAGGGAACATCAACATCTGCTTGATGGGCGATCCCGGTGTGGCGAAATCGCAGTTGCTCTCGTTCATCACTCGACTGTCTCCGCGCTCGCAGTACACGACTGGTCGAGGCTCATCCGGAGTCGGTCTCACCGCGTCCGTAATGAAGGATCCGCTAACCAGCCAGATGATCCTCGAGGGTGGAGCTCTCGTGCTCGCCGATCAGGGCATCTGCTGTATCGACGAGTTCGATAAAATGGCCGAGACCGACCGTACGGCCATCCACGAGGTCATGGAGCAGCAGACTATTTCCATCGCCAAGGCCGGTATAATGGCGCGGCTTAATGCCAGGGTTTCCATTCTCGCGGCTGCCAATCCTGCTTATGGACGATATAATCCTAAGAGGTCGGTGGAACAGAATATCCAGCTGCCGGCTGCGCTTCTCTCGAGATTCGATCTGTTATGGTTGATACAGGACAGGGCGGACAGAGACAATGATTTGAAGTGAGTTTTCGTTATTTTAACGCAACTGTCGATTGAAGCGTCGAATGAAAAAAGTAATCCGTTGTGAACAAATATTAAATGATTATAACAATTCTATTTTATGATATATTTACGATAAGCAGTGAAATCTAATTAATTTAAATAAGATTCTAAATCTTGTGCTACTGATTGGTAAATCTTAAAATGAAACATTAATTTTAGTGAGAATTTGAGATTGATGGGTAATCTATTTTAAATAATATTCGAAAAATTAATTTTATATATTGTAATGAACGTAAATAACAAAGTGTAATATGATAATATACTTGCATTACTACTACTACTACTACTACTACTACTACTACTACTACTACTACTACTATCACTCCTATTACTGCTATTACTATTATTATTATTATTATGATTATTACTATTATGGTTGTTGTTGTTGTTTTTCTTCATCATCATCGTCATCATCATCATCATCATCATCATCATCATCATCTTCTTCTTCTTCTTCTTCTTCTTCTTCTTCTTCTTCTTCTTCTTCTTCTTCTTCTTCTTCTTCTTCTTCATCATCATCTTCTTCTTCTTCTTCTTCTTCTTCTTCTTATTATTATTATTATTATTATTATTATTATTAGTATTAGTATTAGTATTATTTAGATTTTGTCTTTATTCGTTTAGCTGCATCTTCTATTGAAGAAAATTTCATTTTAGCTATGATTAATAATTCTCTCATGAATTCATTCGTATGTCAACACCTGTCGGATAATATTCAAAATACATGCAAATAATTTTAATGCGAATGTAAACTAAACGCTATTGAGTATTGTTGTTCAATAAAAAAAAGAAGAAGCTCGTAGTAAGCTAAGAATTTACATTCATGGAGAAAATTTGGCCAATTTTTTTCATTCCTTTTTTAATTCTTTATCTAATTATATGAAATAAGAAACTAATTCTTCCGTTATATTTGATTGAAATTTTTTCAGACTTGCTCAACATATTACATATGTCCATCAGCACGGGCAGCAACCGCCTACTGAATTCGAAGCTTTGGATATGACTTTAATGAGAAAGTATATTCAAATGTGCAAATCTAAAGAACCTTACATGCCAGAAGAATTAACGGATTACGTTGTTGGTAAGTAATTTTACCATAAGATTAATAAATCATATTAATAACATTTAGCAATCAATCAAAAAGTCTTTATCAATTTGACAGTATTGAAAATAAATATTTTTTATAAATTAAATCTTGTTAATTTATTTTAAACGTGGTTTGTACATAAAAAAAAAGTCTAAACTCATTCGCATAAATCAATCATTTTAAGCACATAAGTTTTAGTAGATTATTTATTTACACTATTTGTAAATATAAATGTAATATAGATGTAATTTAAAGCCAAGTAATTCACAATGATAATCAGCCATTAAGTTTTCATACTTAATTTTTTACATTGAAAAAAAGTCTAAAGCGCGTCCTTAAAAATGCGAGCTTTTAAATGCCAAATTACAAAAAAAAAATTTTTTTTTTTTTTTTTTTTTTTTTTTTTTGAAATAATTTTTAGTGATATTTGTATAAACGTCGAAGTATGAGAAAATATCGATTCTAAGTTGTGTATAATGAAAAATTCCACAATGACGTAAGAATTTTATTTTAAGTTTAATGCAGTAACTACTGCATTTAATGGCGCAATGTAGTAGCATTATCATTTATAATGGTGATTTTCACTGCTGATATTCCCGTTACAATGACGTTTTAAACAAAGTAATGTCGTTCGATTACGTTAAGCTTTATTTTATTATACTGTGTCGGAGGCTATGCTTGCCAAAATAAATCGGTCAATTGTAAGTTTGGGATGAAATTTTCTCTCAAGCTGCCCAAACGCTACCCAAGCATCATCTTAGACATTCCATGAAAATAGATAAACGTGGTGAATGAAGTATTAGGGCACAGCATAAATATACAATTATCGCATCTTACTGGGTTTTGTTTTAGAAAAAATTCTCGACCAAGTTCTCTTAGCATTTGGAAGGATGTAAAAGTCGTCTGTGGCTCCGCCGTAAATGTTACGCGATCGGTAAATTTCAGGGGCACGCGTCATTGTAGCGAGCATATAAAGACAAAGATAAAGAAAGTCAGGCGATCGTTCAATACACAAACGAGCAAGTGACGCACGCAGGGATTTGTCGAATCCACAGATACGTACGTGGAGATGAGGCGAGAGGCTCGCAAGAGCCAAGACCAGACCTTCACCTCGGCGCGAAATCTCCTTGGCGTGCTGCGACTAGCCACGGCCCTCGCCCGACTTCGCCTATCCGACCAGGTAGAGAAGTACGACGTGCAGGAGGCCCATCGACTCATCGAGATGTCCAAGCACTCGATCAACTACTCGGACGTGAAGGTAAGCTCGGGCCCGAACCAGAGGAGGAACAAAATGTACGCGATCATCAGGGAGTTGGCGGGCGAGGGCAAAGTCGTCAAGGTTCACGAGATACTCGAGCGCTGCACCGGCAAGGGCTTCAAGCCCGACGAGATCAACGACATGATCGAGCAGTACGAGGAGCTTAATGTGTGGCAGGTCAATCAGGCCAGGACGACTATTACCCTAGTTTAACGCCACCCTATATTATATCTTTCGCCGCCGCTCCAGCGCCACTTGCAATCGAGAAATGATTTTGATTGATCTAACACGGCGACGTGCTCCCCTCATTCCCCTCCCCATTATCGTCGTCCATCATTTTAATTTTACAAGCCCCATTGTACTTTGTAGGAGACAATAAATTGCATATATTTTTTTTTTTTTTTTTTTTTTTTTTTTTTTAATATCATTGTGGCTTTTTTTGCCTTTTTTCTGTTGTCTTTTTCCGTTTTTGTTTGACCGCTTGACCCATTATTTTTGAGTTTAAGAACATCTGCGTCTTGAATTTTAAATACCTCTAAAATTTTATAGAGGCTGGATTTTTAATTTAATTCGATGCTCCGTGCCTTTGGAAATTATGGGTAATACTTCTTGGATGGGGATAATCCGAGATTGGAGATTTACTTAGGGAAATGGTCTACCGGGTTCGAAAATTTCATTTACTTCGTAGACCCTGCGAGGAGGTTGTATTTTCAAATTTACGAACATTCTGCCTCATCTGGATACTTACTTTAATATAATGCATGCGGAATTTTATGCATCGAAAGTAACTGGAGCTTAGATAGAAACATTTTTTTTTCTTTGTTATTGTAAACGTTTCAAAGCAGAAATGTAAGAGCTATCCAATTTAAAAATGACGTTTAAAGAAAACGCATTTATGGCTGTAGAGCTCGTGTAGCAACACGCGACATACTTTGGAAAACTATTTCTAGTATCACGTTACCCTCACTGTTTATTATTCAATTACTTACATTTTATTCTCAGGAATTATAATAAATCTATCGATAAAAGCATGCTTTGCGAATTTCAATAGTACGGAACTTCAAGGCTCAAATTAACGAACTTAGCGAATTCCCATGCCAAACACACATTCGAATAAATACGTTAACGTTGTCAGTCGCTAAACGTAATTGTCTATGTACAAATATTTCTAAATTATAATGAATCGCAATGGTAATGTGATAATTGTAAGAATATTTTTTGACACCATTGGCCTTGCGTACGACGTATTGTTATGTGTAAGTAAGTCTTGAAATTGCCATAAATTTCATATTTCCTTAGCCTTTTCTATATTTTACTAACGAATGAATAATAGTTTATCTAATATCGATGTAATACTTTTTCGTATTATTGTGATGAAAGTTTGGGTATGTGAGATTGTCAAGAAAGTTGTAATAAGACTTATAGAAACAAATCTATCCACCAATGAATTGAATTTGCACGAGAGTTAACATTATTATCGTGTTAAGTTTTATATTTAATAAAAAGAACTTTTATCAAGAATAACATTAGCATTTATAAGTCTTCCTTTTCTGTTTCGTAATCACATAATTTTATCTTCTTATATCTTTCATTTCATATGTTTATGTGCGTTTATCCACTGTTGAGTATACTATTACATAAGGAAATAAAGAACTACTGGCTACCTTCAATAATATATGAATACGATCTGTTTATGTAAGATAAGCTAGAATTAAATAAGGGCTACGTTAATTTATAAAATTTGATAATTACTCTATAAGTTATAGTTTTTACCATGAACATGACGAGTACACTATTAATATTTTTAATAAAAACGAAATAATATTTTATAATATGCCGATATAAAGGAAATCGTATGTATAATCAAAGTAGTCTTAAATTGATAAATCACGTCGTTATTCACTGCCAATAATATAAATATACTGCAGACGAATCAATTATTTCGAACTGTAGAATTATAATTTAATTTTATTGGAAATAACATTTTATATCTAAAAAGTACATTAAATTATGAAAATAATTTTATTATACTTTATAAAACGATCTCTTCTGAATTCAATTACATGTAAGAATATATAATGGATTTTCATGAAATCTAATATAATATGATTTAATCGTTTTATCTCTCAGATAAATATATATATATATATATATATATATATATATATATATATATATATATATATAATTAATTTATGTAATTAATAATGTGAATTTCACTTATTTTTTATTTTATATGTTTGTATGTTTATAATTCGTTTGTAATGTAAGGTTGTCAATTACTAGGTAGGATATTAGGTAAATTATATTTTAATTTAAGGCTATTTATTGGTAACAATTATAATAATTTAAGGATCATTTCAGTAGTACTACTTTCTAGAATGGTTTTTTTTATGTTCAACATGACAATCGATCCAAGTGTTCAATATAAATATTTTTTTCTCCAAAGCAAATAATAAGGTATATTTTCTTGATTAAAGCACTTGCCCGAATGTAAAAACATCATTTACATACGTTCATAATAATTTACTTTATTTTTGTCCCAAAAATTAATCCTAATAAATAGTTTAGAAGTCGTTTGCACGTATAGTTTGCCGTTATATACGGATTAAATCCTATATACGGCTTTATAAAACTTTTACTCGCTAAATAATTCGGTATATTACAAATGACAATGTCATAATAATTAAATTGCGCAATTCAATATTATCGCTGAATAATGAAATATTTTAATGTCAAAAAAATTAAACAGTCCCGTATAGAAAGCCGTATTATACACTATGAGAAAGTAATTTCAATTTCTCAGTCTAATTAAAAAAATTCTATAAGAAAAAAAAGCTAGACTTAAAGAATGTGCATTATAAAGGTGAAAAGTGAGTATAGAAGGTGCCAGATTGCAAAAATTGCAAGGCACTACATACATTTGACTAAAAGCTTATGTATCATATATCTAATCTTCATGTGTAATTGAGGTACGTATGGCAACACATAACGAGCCTATGTATGCGAATTAATATTTAAATTCTATCTTATCGAATTATAGAATGTGTAGGTAACTTTAAGTACATTATCTTAAATTACTTTTCCCCTTATATTAGGTTAATTGCTTTATAAATTTCAAATCAATATAGTAAATCAATTTGATATTATATAAAAGAAAAAAAAATTTCTTCCTTATATTTATTGCACAAACTTTGCAAAACAAAAAACAAAAAACATAAAACAAATAAAAAAAAAAAACAAAAAAATTAAAAAAAAAAAAATTAAAAAAAAAAATTTAAATAATTATTTGTATAATTTAATTTCAAGTACAGTCTAAGGCCAACGTAGAAAGTGTATAAAACTTTCTCAGCAATCTTACGTTCTGCGTACCGTCCTTAATTTGTACAAACCTTGAAGCTAAATTAGACACGTTGTTACTATGAAAAATAGTGCCTTTTCAGTTTAATACAATTTTCTTTGAATTAAATATTTGAAATTTTTATTTGTTTTATACATATATTCGGACACATATATCGTGTGCATGTTTAAAGCTTCATGCTGTTGATGATTAACAATAGATATGAAGATTGAAAACTTGATTATTTTAGTAGAGAGTATATTGATAATTTTCTCCACTTGTTTTATCTATAACTAGCCTCCTGGTTATAAGTTTGCACGAATTACGGTCACGTAAGAAAAGAAAAGAAAAAAAAAAATTTTTTTTTTTAAACAATTCTTTCGTGTAGAAGATAAATGGTTGCAAAACTAGCGGATGAGGTTTTCAAAAAGCGCACGTCATGCGCTGTTTAAACGAGGTAAATAAATTAAAAAAATATGCCTTAACAACGTATTTTTTTCATTAACTAGCGGCTTCTCGAGCTTTCGCAGACGCGTATTACACGAGTCAAACTTGTTGCTTCCGGCATGCAAAATTAATAATTGCGGATAACGATTCGTGGACACGAATGAAATGAGCTCAATCAAGTCTACTTAATACCTTTGATCGATCCAATCCGATGTCATTTTAGCCTTATAAAATCTATGTGTTACTTTCACTCTCTGCGTTGTATGAATTTGTGCTCGTGAACATTACATATCCGAAAGCTACGTCTATATGTATATATATATACATATATATATATAAGCTTTGTTGTTAAATACAATTTTTACGCTTTCGATAAATTTTTTGCTTTAGCAATAACAGCCAGCTTATAATTTAAAATTGTAGAGATTAGTGATAGAGTAAAAAAAAAAAATAAATAAATAAATAAATAAAATAAAATAAAATGAATTTCTAAAACTGAATGTAAAAGTTATGCCTTGATTATAACAGTTATATTGGTCGAAAAATTTTTACATAAAGACACGTTTAATTATATGTTGGTGACTGTTGTTGTTGTTGTTATTGTTGTTATTATTATTATTATCTAATTGAGTTTAAGAAGGATATATATCGTGCATTATCGCGTCGATACCCCATAGATCGTTGGCCCTCGTCGTAAAGCAGGAATTGGAAAAGATACGCGCACGTTACTTCGCAATCGCCCGATAGTGTTAGAAATTATTTGTGCTATTGATAAATATCAGATCTATTGAACTTGGCGCGTGTAACAGTTTGCCAAAATCTACCTCTTACGATATCTTCAGCATATTTTATTAAGGGATAAGATAGCGATGGAGGGACGTCGTTAAAATTAATTCCGATACGATAATCCCTGGCTCATTATCATTGCATACGCTTAACTAATAACTGCACGATTTGGATGCGAATAATAATTTCGGCCTAATCATTGAGCACACGATTACGAGAGCAGTTTACGATACTGTTACTATCGCGAGCTTTTCAACCAATGCAACGATAATTATATATTACAAAGCCAGAATAGAGACGATCGTCTCGTTATCGCGACACTGCGTTGGCTGTGTTACGCTGAAGCGAATCTCTGCATTATCGATCGGTTGGTTATTTCCTTCCCTTTCCCGAGCAAACTACTGCTCCGTTTAAAAGTATATAGACTTTGAATATTGGATCGGCTAATCGTTGTCTCACCGTCTACGTCGCACCAATTAAAAAGACGTAAATTCCTTGGTTCATGACTCTTCTCCTTCGGGGTTGTTGGCGTGTCTCGATCGGCTAACGGACGACTAGGAGGAGGAGGAGGAGAAGGACGAGGTGACGGAACACGAAGGCCGAGGCCGAGGAGATGGTTTATCGCTAGACCCCGGTCCCGCAGCCCGGCCGAGACTTTATGGCGGCGGCTATTTGCGATGTATTTGCGTTGCTCGCGGGAGTCGCGCTAGACGCGTCGTTCGGAGGTAAATTAAAATTAGAGCCGACCG